AAAGATTTTTTCGTATCTCTCATCGTTTGCGAGAAATAAAATGAAAACTGAAAATCGAATAATTTTCAGGGGATGATTTCACCCATTTAAAATGATTTTCCGCCGCAAAAAAAAATGTTTCTACCTCACCTAAGCACACTAAAAATCCAAGTTTCGAAATTTTTTGAATTTCCGGGCTGGGGAACTATCCTTGTTAGTTACCTAAAAAGTTAACAGATTCATCTTGACAACCTATAAAATCTTCAAATTTATTTTAAATACCTGTAAGATATTAGAACTGTCGTTTTCGATCATTGAAAGTAATATGAAAATGTCTTCATCATTAACAATTTGTATTGTATATACCAAAGCCACTGATCGATAAACAAATTTTATTTTCCTTGGTATGTAAATGAACATTCATTTTCATTTTATATTGGTTTTAAATTTAATATCAAAATGACGAAAATATGTTCAACAAAAGTATGTATCATTATATTGAAATTATGAATATTAGCCCATCGAAGATGATATATCATTAGTGTCATCGCTTAGATAATTAAAAAAATAACACGCCCGTCTAAGTTAAATAAATAAATACACTTTTTTTTTGTACTGTGAAACAGAAGTTTGGAAGTAAACTTCAATCAATGTAAAGGGGCTTCTTACCTGAATTCCCTTTGAACTTGTCATTAATGTGTATCTGATGGATTTCGATATTCAGGTAATCATTCGTGGTATAACTGAATATAAATTACAAAAAGATGTGAAATCACCACAAAAACACTGGGTGTAAAAAACGCGCCAAATACATCCAATTGGAAAAGTATACTTCTCAAAGACATCCATATAGTGGCGATTAATCGCACAAAAATAATGAAATCAGTCACCTTTGCTAACTACGCGCAATGAGTGTTAATTGCAAAATAAAATTTCACAAAAATATACCCATAAAGGAATAATTGTCGCCGCGTATAGGCATGCCAGGTTACCTTTTTTCACCTGGGTTATTCTTAGGTGAGTAGATATTACACTTTGATGGATCACTAGTTTTATTTCTTTTCTGCTCTATGGTTTTGCAAAGACACTCTAGAAATATGTAACTCTAAGCGTTCGCTGAATATATCGCAAAGGAGGGGTAACACTCCCATTATTGGTCATCGTCGCTTAAATCTGAGCCTATCAAATCGGGCTCGAAATCCTCCCCATTCGACCTCGCACAAACTAAAGAATTTAGGATTCCGGTACGGAACATGCTCCCCCCATTGAGAGCTTGTTGTCAACATTTAGAATTTGCAGAATTTTCGTCAGTGACTGGAAGAAGAGTTATCTTTTTTACGTTCCTCTTCAGAATGCTGTCTCCAGTTTTGATGGAAACGACCCTTATGATTCTCCAGGATGGATTTCGCTAACTCGACTCATTCTCCATTGCATGGGTGGGACATCGGCTTCTTTCAAAATGACGACAGATCCAACACGAATGTTATGATCGCCCGTAATCCACTTTTGTCTTATATATCTTTCGTTCAGGTACTCCTTATACCATCTTGCCCAAAAATAGCGACGCACCTTTTGTATGTGCTCCCAGTTAGAAAGACGATTTATCGGAGTATGACTGAAGTTGATTTCTGGTAGACTAGTCAAAGCGTCGTTAATTAAGAAATGTCCCGGGGTCAAAACTAAAATATTGTTGGGATCGGATGATATCGGTGTGAGCGGCCGTGAGTTAAGAATCGCTTCAATTTCGATGATAAGCGTGTTAGGTTCTTCGAATGTGAAGAGCTCTGTTCCAACCACCCGATTCAAATGTTTAAAGGATCTCACTGCGGCCTCCCATATTCCACCGAAGTGTGGTGATAGTAGTGGAATAAATTTCCATTCGATCTCTAAATCCCTTAAATAATTATGGATTTTACGATTACTGTCGGCGATTTGTAAGTTGCGTACGATTTCCCTTAATTAATTGTTGGCTCCGAGGAAATTGGTTCCATTGTCCGAATTTATAATGGCTGGCTTGCCTCTTCTGCTTATAAAGCGCCTCAGTGCCCCAAGGAATCCAGGGGTGCTAAGATCACTAACTAGTTCCAGGTGAACTGTTTTCACAGCCATACAGATGAAGACCGCGACGTACACCTTGATTTTTGTTCTGCTTCTAAACTTTTTCTCTTTTATGAAAAATGGGCCACAGTAATCAACTCCTACGTTGACAAATAAATGGTCTGGTTGCTCCAATGACCCTTGATTTTGGGAGATTTCCCATGATGTATTTAGGGACCGAAGGTTTTGCACGAATACAGGTGACGCATCTCTGGATGATCTTTTGTACCTGGTTGCGACCGTCTATAAGGCAGTACTTCTGACGGATGGCATACAAGGTCGTTTGCCCTCCAGAATGTAGGTGCGAGATATGATAATGTCGGATGACGAGTTCCGAAACATGATTGTTTTTGGGCAGGATGATTGGAGTTTCTGATTGAAAGAAATTGTTGAGTTTTGTAACCTTCCTCCTACTCGCAGTATTCCTTCTTGATCAATGAATAGATTTAATAGTGTCATCTGGTTTGATTTTGGTCCCTTGGGTCTTGATTGATGTTTAACTTGTGCCAATTCTGTTGTAAAGGCCCCTTCTTGTACTTGTTTTATGATCCAAGTATGAGCAGCGTGAAGCTCTGCAACTGTCAATGGAGATCTCCTGTATCGAAGAAACTTGTTGCTCTGCTTGAACCGGAAACAAACAGCTACTGCACGGCTACTGGCCACGCGTCCTCATGGTTTGTTAACCAAGAACGCCCGCGGAACCATAGTGTGTTTTTTGTGAATTTGGTTGGTTGTTGTCAGCGGGGTTGGCTCTGGATGGGATATGTCTGCATTGACATTTTTTCGTGTTTTCTGGTATTTCGGTTACTCGGTTAGCAACGAATGTTTTCAGCTTGTTTGGTTCAGTTTTAATCCAATGCAATGCGATTGTGGTATCACACTACAGGGTGGTTTGTGATATATTTATTGTTAATGCTTGGCTTACGGTTTTGTATAGTTTAGTGAGGAGATGGGCTGCGCACAATTCTAGTCTAGGAATGAAGATGGATTTAATTGGAGCAACTTTGGATTTGGAACAAAGTAAAGTAATTTGTGTTTGGGTGAATGAGTCGGTGGATCTGAGGTATATGCAGGCCCCGTAGCCAGCCTCGCTGGCGTCGCAAAAGACGTGCATTTGTGTGTCGTTGGATTTGGATAGGACAGCCTTACGGTGGTACCGCAATCCATCAATAACTGGGTAACTGTTCGCAAAATCCGTTCCAGGTAGTGTACAGACTAGCCGGTTTGGACTCATCCCAATCCAACCTACCCTCCCACAATCCTTGAATTATCGACTTGGCCTTGAGAATTACCGGACCAACCAATCCCAATGGGTCAAAGATTGTGGCTATTTCAGAATGGATAATTCGTTTAATCGTTGTACTGTTCGGATGGATTGCTTTAGTTTTGTAGGTGATGCTGCCGGTTTGGGCGTTCCATAATAGTCCCAATGCCTTTATTGAGCGATCATCGATTAACTGCAAGTTTTGGTTGATGTGTTCTGGAGGAAGATCCTGTAAAAGTTTTGGCTCGTTTGATGCCCATTGTCGGAGATTCAAGCCTCCTTGTTTCAACAAATGGGTTATTTTTTGACAAGCTATAATCGCCTCATCAATTGATTTAAAGCCGGTTAGTAAGTCATCAACATAAAAATCGTTCCGTAATATACGGGCTGCAGTCGGATACTTATCTGTCCCTTCAGTGGCTAATTGTTGGAAACATCTGATAGCCAAAAACGATGCTGGTGATAGACCGAAGGTGACGGTGTTCATCTCGTAAGTAGTTATTTTTTCATCATCGCTACGCCACAAAATTCGTTGATATCTCCTGTCTTCCTCTCGAATCAAGAATTGTCGGTACATTTTTTCAATGTCTCCAGTTAGGACATAATCATGCTGCCGAAATCGTAAAAGATGTGTCAAGAGGTTGTCTTGAATTGTTGGTCCTATTAATAATGCTGCATTCAACGAAATTCCCGAAGATGATTTGGCAGAGCCGTCGAAGACGACTCTGAGCTTCGTGGTCAAACTGTGCTCCTTGATCACGGCATGGTGAGGTAAATAAAATCCAGGTTGGGTGGTATCCGAGACTATGGACATATGGCCTAGTTCAAGGTATTCGTGAATCACAGCGGCATATTGTTTTTTGAGAGAAGGGTCTCGATTCAATTTCTCTTCTAAGGCGTAAAAACGTTTAAGAGCTTTCTCTCTTGATTCTCCTGACATTCCTTGTTTCCAATTAAAGGGTAGTGCTACGATTAGTCGAGCGGAAGAATCTCGGCGATAATGATAAATGAAATGGTTTTCAGCTGCTTGTTCTTCTCGTGTTCTCAAAGTGCGTTTTGGTAATTCTTCAATTTCCCAAAAACGGCTACGATCATTATCCAAATCAGATACGTGGCATAGGTGTAGAGTCGATCTGGTTCGTTCGGCAATGCTACCTCTGAGAACCCATCCCAGTCGCGGGAGATATTATATTGTCCTATACAGAAGAGGGACAAGGTTGGCCCGGCACCCAGTAGCATATCGATTGGCGCCGGTTTGTAAAATTCTGGGTCTGCCAACTTTGTTTTTTGGGATTTTTATCGTTTCCCGAGGAATGATCTGACTAGGCGTGAAGTCTGAAATTCTCGAGACAGTCAAAAATGTCATGGATTTTTTGTACTTGCCATCCCTTGATTGTATCCAAGCGGTTATTGAATGTTTAGTGTAGGTAGGGGTGTCGTTTAAAGTGCCAACTGGAGTTATACATCGTTTCTTCGGTAATCCGAGTTGAGTGGCCAAGCGTTGTGTAATAAAATTCGCTGATTAGCAAGTGTCGAGAAGAGCTCTGCATGGTTCGGGTTGTCGATGTTTATCAAGGATGTCTAGAGTTGCACTAATCATAATTTGTTGATTTGAAATGTCGGTGGTCAAACTGATCGTCCCAACGGGTTTCTTTAATTGTCATTCCTTTGCATGATCTTGTATTGATGTGCTTCGCTGGTGATAACTGGCTCCGTTTCCAGCTGGTTTCTCTGAATTAATAGCCTTGTGCAGAAGGGTTTTGTGGCGGCCTTCGCATACCCAACAGTTGATGTGTGAATGACAATCTTCCACCTGATGATTGCCCCTCAAACAGTTAACGCACATACTGGCATCGGTAATGGTCTTCAGACGTTGTGTTGGTGACGAAGTTTTAAATTTCTCGCATCTAAATAATGGATGGGGGGCTCTCTCCTTGCATACGAAACATCTCTTTTCGGTATAACTGGCGAAGGCTTGATTATAAGAACGTTTTGGTGGTTTTCTTGAAGTCCCTTGAGAGTCGTGGATGTGGAGAGATTTGTCGTTTTGTCTGTTGATCAATCTAGATGCTCGTGAACTAAGGAATTCGAGCATATCTTCTAGTTTTGGGAAGACACCTCTTTTGAGAGTGTTCCATTTATCACCGGTGGTTTCGTGAATCTTTCTCTCTAAAATAGTTACGACGATTTCGTATGACACGTTTATATTCATTGATTTGAGGGCTGCTAAATGTTGCCGCGTATCGTCTGTTAGTTTCGTTAGGCCTGCGGCTGCTTCCTTCCCTTGAACTGGCAAACTTAAGAGGAGGTATAGATGTCGAGAAGCGATGATTCGGGAATCCGAGTAAGTTTGTTCGAGCAGTCTCCAAGTTTCGTCATAATTTTCTGGTGTAATGGCGAGCATTTTCACTTTATTGTAAGCTGGCCCCGTAAGTGAGCGTCGTAGGTACGTCAATCTGTCTATGGTGTTAATATCGGTTTGATTGTGAATCATGGCTTCAAATTCTGATTTAAACGATATCCAACTTTCGTACTCGCCGTTAAACGTAGGTAGGGTAGGCTCTGGTAATTTGGGTCTTCTACGCCCCATCGTGTTGGTGGTGACCGACTCAGTCTCAGTCCTTCAAGAATGACCCTCGTTGTTTATTCCAAAGAATCGCCTGGATTCACCTCGCGCGATGGCCATGAATTAGATAGGGATAGAAATAAGACCGAAGGAATCTGGAATCCAAGATTAATTTATGGAATAAACTTTACAGATAGACAGTAAGTCCTAACTAAACTCGAAATACCTACGGTCTCTGCCATGGTGGTAGCCGTTGCATTCTCAATTGTAATCCTTTTGAACCCAATCCTGAGACTGCGCTACTGCACCATCTACCAAAAACGAACATTAGAGTGTGTAAAATAAAGGAAAGGAAAAAGAAGAAAAGAGCCGTACCTTAGATTAACGGAAGTCAATCGAAGCAAGTTCAACTAAAGACGCGTAGATCCGTATCTTCGGCCTTGTCAGTACGACAATCCTGAAGCAGGAGCCAACACGATTTTTAATTGTGGAAGACAGCTAGAGCTCTATCACTATGATTGCCTCCGATCTGCCGAGCTTCCAAAGTTGGAAAGAATAAGAATCGTGGCACGAATAAGTGCACAAGAACCTTATCACAAAACATCTTACCGAACCTGAAAACCCAATGCCAGCGGGTATTCGAAGCTGGATAACCTACATTAAGTTGAAGCTAACACATGTAGAACAGTGCTCCAGAAATCAAATAAGATAATTCAAGTAATTTTGAGAATCGTATCATAAATTGAAGAACACGCGAATAACTGGATACCGAAATACGACAGAAAGTCAACCCATTCTCACCCACACTTTGAATTCTTTTTATCCGGATTCGATTGTGAACATCTGGCGTACTCTTGTGAGATAAATCGTCCATCTGCGAGTTCACTTCCTATTAGAAATCCATTCCGTCTCAGAACAGCGGAAACGATTAAACAATTAACAAAGTTAGGAATCTGAGCGCGTTCGAGATATCGAAAAACAAATTCGATTCGAAATTTCGGTTTCGATCAGCCGAGACGCGCAAGAAACCGAAACATTTTCTGCGCGGCACAAGACATCGCGATCTTTTTCTAATTCGCACGCCACCCTCTCTCTTACTCGGGTCTTCGCACCTCGGAAATCGGTGATTTAATATTCCCGGAAATTCCTGACGCGGTTCGGACTCACGACTGTGTGGAAAAGACGGTGCATTCTACACGGTCTAAACCGTACCATTACAGTGTATGTCGTAACATATGCATGTATAAACTATTATATATTTTTTATCTGCAGAGATTTCTAAGAGAAACAATACCCTCTTCTCCCACAATGGAGGAAATGGATGATATGGTTTTTACTGATGAAGTAGATGAAGTCTTAGATGAGTTTGAAGCAGCAAATGACGACGAAAACGATGATCTGTATCAGGACCTTTGCAAACAGGATGATGGATCTTGTGTATTCTCTAGACATACTGGTTCGAGAGCTGATCATTCTCTTCATCTAGTTTTGGTTCTATATTCTGCTTTTATTACAGTCTTTGTAATTTTAGGGTCCGTATTTTGTGGTTCATTAAATATAAAAGGAGACCTAGCTGCAACAGGTGGCGAAGATGATAAAGCATACATTTGGGACACTACTTCTGGAGAGATTGTCTTTGAATGTAAAAGTCATGAAGATAGCGTAATTTTTGCAGAATTCAACACTGACGGCAGTTATGTAGCAACTGCTGATATGAGTGGCATCATTTATGTATGGAGTGTTAGGGAAAAAAATTTAGTATGGAAGTACAGTATGGGCGACGTTTCAGTAAGTACCTTCCTCTTTTACAATGGTTCGATGGAAGTCTTCCATTTTAAGTAATGTATGTACTTTATCGTACGTTTTTTCTTCAGTGGTTAAGATGGCATTTACATGCAAATATCCTTTTTGCGGGATCTGTTAATGGAGATACATATATATGGAGAATCCCCATGGGCACTTGCAAAATTGTTCAGGGATGTGGACTTCGTTCCGAAACTGCGGTAATAATGGCTGATGGTATGATACTGTTAATCATAAGGATAATTTGGAAACGAGGTGTGCGTTCAAAATGTAATTTCCTGATTTACTGTGAATAGGTAAACGTTTGGCCGTGGGGTTTGAGGATGGCAGCATTCGTATAATTGACTTTACATCAAATAGCGAAGAACTGGAAATTATTACTATACATTCAGGACATAGTGAAGGGATAACAGCTCTCGATTGCCATCCTGACAATAATTTATTACTGTCTTCAGGAGTAGATGGCAAAACAATTCTTCACTCAACGAAGACTAAGAAGGTCTGAGCACAAATATTACTTTTCCAGATCGTTTTATGTAAAGGACTTATTCCCGAATTCTGTGTGTTCTGGGCCATGAGCGAACAACTTTGAATTACGTATCAACATATATGGGAAGGTAAGAGTAACAAAAATGCAGGGTCCTAAGTTGTTACGTCGTATGCGCGGGAGTGAAATACGGGGTCAAATCTATAATGACGGGCTCTAATTTATAAAATTCGGGGTTTCTGGGGAAAAGCATGTGTTTAATTCACAATTTGTCTGCGACGTTATAAATGTTTAGAGTATCTCTGAAATTATGATGGCTAAAATAATCAAAGGAATGTTTTGGGAGCAATTGTAAGAAAGAAACTAATCTTAATTACCAGTTGTAATAATTCTACTTCATCAATAATGACGAACTCTTGGATTTCCCGATTCCATCAGATATCTTCTATTCTATCAAATAAAGCAGGCAAAGTCATATTATGGAAAACATGTTGCCACTGATGGGTTATTTAAGATTGAACTTTATATTGATGTTTAAGTCATAGATTTTGCGTTCTCTAAGCTGGTAGGTGTTTGTAAATGCTAAAATACAAGCCAAGCAGGTCAACAAAACAAAATATTACATTCATATATTGGCCGAGAAAAATGTAACTAAGGAAAGAACGTCATACGTTCTTACTATTCTTCCAACTTTTTACTATGTTCGACACTTCTTTCGGTCTGTAGAGGCACCGTCTGAACATATAGAAGACATTTGTGTAACGTTCTATATCTCAGATGATGAGCCTAATGAGTGCTAAATTAATTTTTCAACAACCTGTATATCTTAAAGCATACATTGAATTGAGCTAAACTTGTTTTTTCGTGAATGTACTCAGTCAGACCTACACACTAATATATAACTCATTGTTGTTCGTCATGTGACCCAGTTTAGAACGAAGTTCTATGTTTTAAGGTATTACTTCCCTAAATGCACTTTTCTTACAATTTTTTTTTCAGACTTTTTCAGTGTATTGTTTACATTTTTATCTACAAAACAAACCCATTCGGAAGAAAATCGTCTATCTAGATCCGAAGATAATCGAATTTGAATATTGCTTACTTTGCAGCATGTCTCCATATGTAACACTTATATAATGGGACGCTGCGTTACATTTTTAATTTTTACAGTGAAACGATTCTTACAATTTTTTTCAAAAATCGACAATATAAAGGAATACGTGTTAATTAATATTAAAAAAAAAATGTTCTTTTATGTCCATCGGGAAACGGAGATAGGGTTGTCATAAAAATTCCGAATTTTTTTGTACGTCACAGAGAGCGGGGCGGGCGGCTCAGACGTGGCAACCACGTTCGCGGCAGTACATGTAACCGCTCGCATATTTGACTTGCTCTATCGCCCTAAATGTTATGGGTATATAATTCAATTTCAAGGTAGTAATTATAAACCGGAAAAAAAATTCACCAAACGTATTTATGTTAATACAATTTATTTATACCATTTGATAACATCAACTTTCGACAATATCAGTAAAACAGTTTTTTCTTGCCAATAGAAACATAAAACAGTATATTTTTCGACGTGGTTTTCGCCACAAACCTCGACACCCGATCTACAGCACTCGTGGAATGGGCGCCAGTCGCCACCGGACGACGCAAAATCACTTGAATCTACCTCGCGTATTGACACTCGCGATTCACAATACTCGGGGTCGCGGGTTATCGGTCTAGAAAACGCTACTTATCATACGCCGCGATCGCGTTGTCCTTGGTGCTACCGGTCACTGACTCTATAGTTACATAAATGACGCGGCCCTATGTGACAGAGACCGTACGCCTCATCAAAATCAATAAAACGTAATCAAGGCCGTATGGCCAATACCTTAAATTTCAAACGAAGGCTTGTACCTCGTCGCCTCTTGGCCTCTCTCTCGCTTTCTCTTTCCCACTCTCAAAATCGTACTATCTCAAAGGCTTCGGCCGACACGTCCGTACCCGTCGACGGTCCATCCTCGGTCCCCCAAGGAGGGAGAGAAGGGAGGAAGGGGATGATTAGGGGTCAGGGAGGAGGGATGGGAAAGGGAAAAAGATCACGGGGGTACCCGCCCCCGACGAGGGCATCCCCCGTGCCACCCCAGCAGGCGATGCGGAGGCCACCTACTCGTCCACCACGTACCATCGCCATGTCGGTACACGGTGGTGCACATTGGCTTTCCCAGCCAATATAGGCGGTGGTCGGGGCACTCCGAGATGCATACCCCCGGTCGCCCGCAGAGGTAGCAATAACCACCCCGCGCCGGGTTCGGGCACCGCCAGTGCCGGTGGTCCCGGCCATCGCACCACCAGCAGCTCTCCCTTGACTCGGCCGTCCCGCCCCCCACCTCCGGTGGCTTAGGCACCGAGAGAATCATCAGCGGGGGCGGGGAGGCGCATCCCGGAAGGACGCTGGGGCCCGCGGACCGGCAGGAGCGGGAGTGGGAACGAGGGAAAGGAGAGGAACGGGTGGGAAAAGGGGTATTGGAAGGGAGGATAATGGAGGCGAAAGAGGAGTAGGAGGAAGTGGGAGAGGGAGCGCGGGTGTCGGTCCCGCCGACCAAGAGAGAGGGAGCCCTTCCCAGGGTTAGCGCCTCCCGGAGGACGGGACCCGGCAGAGGGATGACCGGCGAAGGGGGGGAGTGAGGGGTAAGAGGGGGAAAAGCGGGATGGTGGTGGCGGAGGGGTCGGAGCGGCCGGAGGGGATGGGGGCGGTGTTAGGTTTAGGGAAGGACATCAGGAAGGCAAAGGAGGCCACGTAAATGTCGGACAGGGCGGGGATGGGAGAGAGGGGCAGGACAAGGACTGGGTAAGAGGATCAGGGAGAGGCGGTGGGAGTAGGGATGTGGGTGCGTGGCAAGGGAGTCGGGGGACGGGAAGAAGGAATAGGGGAAGAGGGCTGGAAGTTTCGCGGTCGGGGGACGGCGGCGGCCATTAGGTTCGGAGAGGTTGGAGGTCACAAGGCGGGAATGGGGGTGGCGGGTCTGGAGAAAGGAGTGGGAGTGGTGGGGCGGGAGACGGGAGTGGGGGAGGTGGGCCGGGGGACAGGAACGGCCATAAGGGCTGGGGGCTTAGGGGTGGGAATCGAGGTACGAGTCGGGGCGGGAGTCAGGGGTTGGGGAATGGGGGTGGCCATTAGTGGCCGGGACAAACCCTGGGGAAACACTGCGGGGCCGTCCCCGGCCCCGTCGGCCGATCGCCAAAGGGGCCTCACTCGCGGTGGCCTCGCCACCGTCGCCGCGTACGACCGCGGCATTCCGCCAGCTGCCATCGCCGCCGGTGGCGGCCCCGGAGGCTCCCCCCCGGCCCGCCCCACCTCGGGGACGAAATCGCCCAAAGTAGGGCAATCCCGGGGTGCCGTCCGGGGCTCCTCCAGCTCGACTACATCAGGGCGGGAAGCGCGGGGGCACCCACGACGCGCCGCGCCGCGCTCGCGGCGGAAACGCCCAGCTCGCCAGGCCCGCCAGGGTCGCTTCCTCCTCTTCCTCTAGCTAGAACTGGCTGGGGGTCCGCGGGCTCGTTCTCCGCGTCCTAATCAGCTGTTCATGTAGGGGATAAAGATGGATTAGACACGATATCCCTAGGCCCTATTTTAGTGGGGGAGTAATAGGGTTTGAGATCCTTGATGTGGATCCGAGGGGTTACACGGCCGGCCTGATCAGCCAGATCGTACAGCACCGGCGTCACTACCCGGTGCACGGCATAGGGCCCTATAAATTTGGGTGCCAGCTTGGCCACAAAATGGTCTACCGCTGATGAGAGGACACGGTTCCTTCTCATCACCCAATTCCCTGCTTTGAACTGGAGGGGACGGCGCTGCAGGTTGTAATAACGCGCCTGGCGCGCCGTTGCCTGCTCCGTGTTCTTTCCCACGAGATCGCGGATCAACCCTACCCGTTTAACTCGATCTGCCCAGGCGTGCACATCCCCCGGATCCAAAGAGTCGGGATTGTGGATCTCGTCACGGAGGTTCATGCCAGGATGGGGATTGCGACCGAAATTTAAGAACGCGGGCGAAACCTGGGACGACACATGCACCGCCGTATTTATCTCGAACGCCAGTTCCGGTAGGTGCTCGTCCCAGTCTCGATGATCCTGACCTACATATGTGGCAATCATGCTCTTCAGGGGTCCGGTTGACCCGCTCTACCGGATTTGCCTGAGCATGATGTGGGGGCACCATAGTGTGTCGAATTCATAGGGAAGAAAGGCGGTCCTTTACCTCCTGGTTTACAAATTCTGTACCATTATCGGACAGGAAGAATTGGGGACAACCCAACCGGTTAATGATTAAATGATCGAAGACGTTCATAATGGCTGTCGCGGTCGCTTTTCGCAACGCCGCGACCTCCACAAATTTTTCAAACAGGTCTTCGAATACTAGAAGGTATCGCTTCCGAGAACGGCTCGGTGGGTAGGGTCCCATGATATCTGCCGCGACCACCGACCACGGTCCCTCGATGTGGCGCTCCCGCATGAGGCCTGGTGGTACCTGCTGTTGCACCTTGTGCTGCTGGCAGACCGGGCACCCTCTCACGTAGCGAGCCACATCGTGGCAGATGCCCGGCCAGTAGAAGTCCTGGACCACTCGCTGGTAGGTCTTCTCCACTCTCAGGTGTCCGGCCTGGGGATTATCATGGGCATCCAATAGGGCACGCTCTCATCTCCCATGGCAAAACCAATTTCCAACTGTTGCAGTTGGGAATGGCGGGATCGATGATCGGGTTCTCCCTGTGGTAGTAGAGCTTCCCTTCCTCTACCCTCCAGGTTGGGTACTTTCTGGGTGTTTCCCCCACATTTTCCATGCGGGCCAGATACCACTGGGCCTGGATATCCCCAAGGGCCCCTAAACACGCCAGTTGATCCTCATACTGGCGGGATAGGGTGTCGGGAAAAACATTCTTAGATTCCTTTCTATGAATGATGTCCATGTCTAGGCCCTGCATGCCGAGGGTCCACCTCGCCAGACGGCCTGTCGA